ATTTAACGTTCTGCCGAAAGCATCCTTGATTATAGCAACTCGAGGTTTGAATTTGTTCTTCAGTTCCTTGAGCTTAAGATATGCTGAGCGCGTTCATTTTCCTCAACTTCAGCGTGAACTTGCATATGAGTAGTTGGTGGTCTCACCTGGTTTTCACAGCTGATATTGAGCTTCTCCAGTGAGTCTTTCCACAAATGTAATGTATTTGATTCCTATGCATACTATCAGATGAAATCCATGTGTATAGCCTGCGTTTTTATTTCTTTTAAAAGGCATTTGCAATGAATAAATCATTGAATGTGCAGAATTCTATCATTCTATCATTCTATCTTCAGCCTCATTTTTCTCATTGAGTCCATGTTTTCCAGTTACTTATCCTTCTCTGTTTCCAACTTTTGTGTTGCAGTCTTATCAATGCATCTTGATTGCATGTTTGATAAATTTCTAATTATAAAAGTTGGTATAAATCTTTCATCTCCTCCTTTTTGGCTCCAGTTTTTGGTGCATATATTTGAATGATAGTGATAGTCACTGGACTTTCTTGTATGAGTATGGATATTATCCTGTCACTTACAATATAGATAGAGATAGATAGAGATAGAGATAGAGATAGAGATGGATGGATAGATGATAGATAGATAGATAGATAGATAGATAGATAGATAGATAGATAGGGTGCCATTGGGATGCCAAATGTCATAATGGTTTCCCATGGTGGACAATATTTGGTGTCGCTTTCGGTTGAAGACAGGTTTGGAAGCAGGAGTGGCATCCACTTCCTAATCAACATACCTCTGGAAACTCTATGAACTTCGATAAATGTTAATAGTTGTAGAGGGGCTTCAGGCCTTTTATTCATAGGTTGCTAGTTGTGCTCGACTCGATGGCAATCAACAACAACAACAACAACAACATATTTTATATATCAGCAACTTTAAATTTATATTAGTTTGCTTGTTGTGTGCTGTCAAGCACAATGATACAAGCAAACCAATATAAAATAAGAATAAGAATTAAAATTAAAAAAAACCTCAACAAATCCACAAAAACTTAGTGCAAGAAGCTGCACAGCAATCCCAAAGACATGCAGTTTGAAATTACCAGCTGCTCCACAAAAGAATGATGGACAATCTCCTCCTATGCGATTAACAGCTTCTGAAAACTTGTCAGACAGTCAGCTGTAGGTCAGTTTCAACTCCATGGCATACAACAACAATTGTTTGCTTAGAAAGTTCATATACACATTGGACTATGCTCACCATTACCCTGTCTTTCCAGGTCCCCCCAGATCTTTCCCATTTTTTTACCCCCTCCCTCCACCACCAAATTGTGCAACACTGTGATTTCATCCCTATCCATCTTCACTCTTCTACTCCTACTGTTTCATGCCTAGGATCTCCATACATGTTTTACTAGTTGTCCTTATAATTTTACAATAATATTCCAATGCAGTATTGGCCTTAAGAAACTTGAATTAGTTCACTCAGCATAATGCTCTCCAGTCTCTCTTAAGTTATGTAGTATTTTCCCAAAATATTTCTCCTGAGTGCTGCATAGTATGCCAACGTGTGAATGCACCACAGTTTCACAATCCATTCAGTTGTTGAAAATTTGCATTGTTTCTATGTTCTTGTGATGGTGAGTAATGCTGTTATAAACATTGATGTACAAATCTCAATCTGTGTCTCAGTTCTAATTTCCTTCTAATTCTTAGTAGTGGAATAACTGGGTCATATGAAGTATTTATGCTCAAATTTTTGAGGAAACACCAAACTGCCTTCCACAGTGGTTGTACCATTTTACAATCCCACCAACAGTGCATAGAAATTCCCACCTCTACTTATTTTTTCCAACATTTATTGCCTGTTGCCCAGAAAAATGTTGGTACTATTACTAGGGTGAGAAAGTATCTCTTTGTGGTTTTGATTTGCATCTTTTATAGCCAATGATTTTGAACATTTCTTCATGTGTCTTTTGGTCATCTAAAAGTCTTTCTCTATGAAGTCTTTCTATGTTTTATGTCCAATTTGTAATTGGTTTATCAGTCTTTCTTCTGGAAACCATGGAGGAGTGTTCTATAAACTTTTATTATGAGATCTTTGTATGGTGATATTGCCAAATGGTTTTGTGTTTGTTTATCCACCTGCCTACCCCCAGTTTGTAGAGTTTCTTTTAATCCTATTGGGAAAAGTATTTTATGTGCACAGGGATTTAATGCTTAGAAGATCCTATTCATCAATTTTATCCTTAAAGATTGTATATTTCTAATTGTATTTGTAAGCCTCCTTCTACCATTGACTATGCCTTCTAAGTTTTGCCCCAGTTTTTCTCTTATGAACTTTATGGTTTAGGGCTTTACTCCCATGTCTCTGATCCATATTGAGTTGATTTTTGTGTATGGGGTGAGATGTAGATCCTATTTCCGTTTTCTCCAGGTTGCAGTCCAGTTTTGCCAGCACAAGTTGTTGAAGAGGTTGTAATTTCCCCATTTTCAATAGGTTTTACGGTATCAGTTGACCATACATTCATAGGTCCCTATGTTGATTCTTGATCCTGTTTAATAGGTTTATGTGACTTTCATCATACCGGTGCCATGTTGTTTTGACTATTAGGTTTGTGTAGTAGATTTTGAGGTCAGAGGTCATTGTCAACTTAATTTATATTTTTTTGAAGTGCTTTACTTATTCAGGATCTCCTTCCTCTCCAAATAAATTTGACCCTTTCCTTTTTTGATCTCCTTGAAAAATAATTTGGTGTCTGTATTTGGACTGTATTGAACATGAAGATTGCTTTTGGTAGGATTGTCATTTTCACTATATTGAGTCTTCTTATCAAAGAACAGGGACTATATTTCCATTTATTTAGGTCTTTAATTGGTTCTCACAGACTTGTTCTATAGTATTCCTTGTAAAGATCTTTTATGTCTTTTGTTAGGTTAATTCCCAAGTATCTCAATTTGTGGTTGGCTTTTGTAAACAGCTCACTGGGTTCCACAATTAATACTCTTGGCACCAGCAGTCAGGAAATCAAAAGTTGAGTTGCAGTGGAAAAATCTGCTGTCAGAGGCCTCTCCAGAGCACTGAGAAGCAATCATGTCAGTCTAGAGTCTAAGCTGTGCTTGATCCAGGCCATGTTCTCCACAATTACTTGCTATGCATCAGAGAAATAGTGAAAAGTATATATGCAATCCTAAGAAAGACTAAAAACATTTTCCTTGTGAACAGGGACCGAGAATTGTGAACCAGTGTCACAATTTCTAGTAAATATTGTAACGGAAGTGTTAACTAGGGCAATACAGCAAGAGAAAGATATAAAAGACACATCCCAATTGGCAAAGAGATGGGTATGCAGATGATAGTGTACACAGAAAACCCAACAGATTTAACAAAATTAAAAAAAAAACCTGTTAGAGCTACTAGACAAATTTAGTACAGTGGCACAAGATTAATATCCAAAAATCAGTGAGATTCCTCTACAGTAATGAAACACAGAGAAGGAAACTAAGAAAGCAATACCATTTACATTAGTGAACCACAAATTAAGATACTTGTGAGTAAACCTAACTGAGGCGCAAAAGATCTGTACAAAGAAAACTACAGAACATTTCTGCAAGACACAATAAAAGACCTACACAAATGGAAAAATGTGTCCTGTTCATGGATCGGAAAACTCAATATTGTGAAAATGGCAGTCCTACTAAAAGCAATCTATATGTTAAGCACAATTACTTGTTATGCATCAGAGAGCTGGATAATCACTAAGGATGACAGAAGAAGAATTAATGTCTTTGAGTTATAATGCTGGAGAAGAGACTTGAACATATCATTGACAGTCAAGAAAACAAATAGGTCTGTCTTGGGGAGGGTAAAACCCAGTTTCTCCTTGGAAGCTGCGAATTTAAAGCTC